ATAAAGCTGGTTGATTAATTTCTGCTCTTGATTAGAAATAAATACTTACAACTAGGAATTATGTTTTATTGCATATATATGAATTTGTCGACGAGTCGGGAAAAAAAAAGTGTCGACGAGTCGGGAACTTCAATTATTTTTTATTAATTTGTCGACGAATCGGGACTGAATCTTTCAAATTTCTCTTTGTACAGAATGTTACATAAAAATGAAAACAAATATAACTGATTATACATATCTAGTATCTTTTCCTTTTTTAATTCAGGCACACACTATCATAGAAGACTAAATGGAGAAATTCGATTAAATGTAAATTCTATTTTTTTGTCTTTCTTAACCGAAAGGAATAGATAAGAGACGATGAAGTAGATTGTATAGATGCTGATAAGGGGATGAGGATTATACTATACTAACTACCAGCATCTTTCCTAGGAATTATTTTATCCCACAAACTTGATTTTACCCCTTCAGAATACACGTACTGTGGTACTGAACGATCCGTACCATTAAGCAGGGGTAAACTATCCCGAATAAACGATTCCTTAACCAGCAATTTATACGTTTGTTTTTCTCGTAACACAATTTCAAAGTTATTATCTGTAATTGTATGTCCAGTATTAGAGTAATGTTTTCTGATAGGCGATTTTGCAACATAAACTGAGTTATTTTTTATACAGCAAAGTTGCTCAACAGTTTCTTCAATTATACTTTGTTCAAAGGTTGTAGTTGTTCGAAGTTTAGGTAGACAGCCTAAACTTTGTGATCGGATAACACAGCGTGGCACTGTTACTCGTTGTGAAAAGCTACTAGTGTTACCCATAGAATTTTTCATTTTGGACATTTTTGCATTTACGAGGGAACCGCCCCAGGTGCTCAACTCCGATTTCCTTCATTCATACCTCGTTTTATAGAGCACATCGAGCTGATAAAAAGCCTAAAAGGATATCGGCTGACGACTCTTTAAGATCCGGTTGTCTGGAAAACCAGTTTTTAAGAAACTCTAACAGAATAACCAAAACCTTTGTTAATGAGACATGCTTGTAGCCCGCGAAATTCTCATAAAAATGAGACATCTTCCAGCTCTACATGACCTTTCTTTGCAAAGTTATAGAATTTACAAGAGAAGCCCTGAATGTTCAGTGTCAACTGAAAGCTGCAGAAATCAGAAGAAATTAATTTAGGGCTTTTCTTGTAAATTCTATAACTTTGCAAAGAAAGGTCATGTAGAGCTGGGAGATGTCTCATTTTTATGAGAATTTTGCGGGCTACAACCATGTCCCATTAACAAAGGTTTTGGTTATTCTGCTAGAGTTTCTAAAAAACTGGTTTTCCAGAAAACCGGGTCTTAAAGAGTCGTCAGCCGATACCCTTTAGGCTTTTTATCTACTCGAGACTCCCTATCGAATGATGCATGAACGAACGAAATCGGAGCGGGGCACCTGGGGCGGTTCTCTCGTTAGTAAGAAGGTATTATATTTTGTTGTCTTAAGAGATGGTGTTACTAGTGTAGGTTCAGAGATTTCGATCAGTTTTGTTTGATCAATTAAATGTTCTTCTGTCCTTTTACAAAAATGTCCGTATGTTTTCCAATATAAAATTCATGACATACTGGTCAGGTGGCTTTATAGACAATCCCCGATTCGAGTGGACCAGGTACTTTGTTTTTTGTACTGAAGTATTTTCCTAACTTTTCAGTCTCGTACACTACCTTTACTTCTTTAAGAGGAAAATTATTTTGAACTGCTGTTGATATGCGTTTCCCGTAGACTATGCTTGTTTGTCCATAAAATGGGACTTTCAAGACCACGCGTTCACTTAATACCGTAGGCTCCTGTACTTTTGGTGTATAATACTGATTCAATTTTTCACAAATTATTTTATCTGCGAATTTATTTGGATAACTGTTCTGACTAGCAATTTTGTCAAAGTCCTCATCAAGGAACGTATATGATTCGTACGTATATTCTGCCTGTGGGCGACTCCTGAAAGGATTCGTGGTTCCAACTCTGCTTCCGTTGGCTCCAAGCACCACTAAACAAGCGCTTTCTGTTCCATCTGTCGCTCCAAAAATTTATCATACTATCAAAGAGAAGCTCCGCGATTACAGTCAAAAACCGACAGCCAACTTCGGCAATTCCGGGAAAACCTGTCGCGATTCGTTTCTACACTGCTTCCAACTGTATTACCGATGGCTCCAGATAGAACTTTCCATGCTCTATCGATTGCACATCTTACGTTTTACTTTTGACAAAGTAATCAACGAGAAAATAGCTAATTAGTAGTTTGATCATTAATCGTATTTGGAAGTTTATTTATATCGAAGTAAAAAAGCAATCAGTAGGAAAAATGAAAATGGAAAATCAAGTAATAAAATGATCAGGCTGTTGAGTAGTCAGTGGTAGGGTTTGATGTGGAGAGACGGTTGAGGGCGATTTCTCTTTCTTTAAGAAAAGAAAAAAATCATGTTTTGTTTGATAGGAAAAATAGTTTTATACTCACTTCGCGCTGCATCACGTCGACTACGATATTCATTTAACGTCTTCGGGTACCATCAAACGCTGTAAACAAGAGCAGCAGTTAGGTTAAATGCATAATGGTAGGAGGCATTAATGTCTTACCTTACACTCCCCTCCGTTGCGATAACATCTTATTCCACATCAACATACAACCGTACCCGTGATCGATCCAAGAGCTGCTAGGCAGCCAGTAACGGATTGGATAAATTCACCAATGTCTTTCAGTTTGGTTCCATGTGTTTGAGCGGTTCTGGGTTCGATGGTAGGGGTGGTAATCGTTGTTGTTGAGGTGGCAATGGTGTTTGAAATCTGCTCTGCTTGGAGCAGGTCAGTGATACTGTTATATTGCTAGATAGGAAAAATCGATTTATTATATGAACCGTCCGAGGGCTACTGCTTGTGAATTGACTAAAGCGAAGAAAGCGAGAAGAAGAAACATGATGAAATCGAGTGATATTTTAGTGATAAGTGAAATTCTAGTGATAATTTTCACTATATATACATGCTGAGCCAGTGTCGTCTCCATCGGTGCCTAATTGGCTTTGTAAGATCAAACAACATCAAAGGTGACATCAAGAATGAGAGTGAATAATTATGGACGAATCGAGACTAAACTTTCCCAACCATAGGAACATACACTGATTGTTCTGTATGCTTTCTTTGATTGTAACATATAGGAATGCGGCGCGTAGATTAAAAGAGTTATATAGTTTTCACGCAATATAAGTTTGTCCTTGATTGTTCTCGTCATTATTGCTGTCTCTCTGATATTTCTTTGTCAGAAAACGAAGTCATATGAATCAGAGGAAGAGTGTAGCTTCTCGTACACTTAAAATTATCAGCCTGTGACATTTACGTCTACCGTATATCGTACGTTTATTATATGCTTGGATTATTATATGTAGCAGACAGAACTAATTACAGAAAAACTGTTATATAAGGTAAAAATATATTATAAGGTGATCATGTCCTGTATTAGTGTTTGAAGTTTATCTATGTCTCTATTTACATTATGTTTTATACACTTGATGATGTAGACAAGAATGCTTAAGAAAAGAAAGAGTACGAGAGATACGATAAATGTGCCAAGTTCACGAATGAATCGTTTTGTTTTTGGCTGATTTGGTATAAATTCTGTCATGATCTCTTTCGCCGATTGTGCCGCTTGTAATTTATATGCTGATAGCAATCTTTTCGTCATGTTTTTAATTGATATAATGGAAGTTGGCCGATTCAGGAAGTTGGTAAAAAGACTTGGTTTAAAGATGATTCGACGTTGAATACACGTTGCTGCTGGTAATTGAACGTCCATACATACTACTGTTTTTCCACAGAGGGTACGTAAAATTGCTGGCTCGCTGATCGGTATTGTTTCAGCTAATTCGTTGGAAGTAGAATGAACTTGACAATAATGTATTTCACGAATGTTGTACAATAGCCATAGGCCATTGACTATTTGTAAAACATCTTGCTGCATATCTTGTGCTCGAATCACTTGACATATGCTAGGAGTTAATGTATCGTCATCCAACATCTAAGCTAAACACGTTGAGCTCGACAGTTCAATTGACACGGGCATTTTTTGACATTGAACAACAATAGAGAACGTGCATTCATTAATATCAGACTCATCGTTCCACATAATCAATGTCTGATCTATTACGTTTACACCGATTGACTGCGGAAGGTTTGAGTAAATGTACTTATCCCCATTTAATGCAATCGGCAACGGGATCAAACGGTAGACTAAAAATGTGGATGTACTATCGATTGGAGGGCGTACAAACAATGTCGAGACAGTGAGACAGGGTGACGATTCTCTTCGATTCAATGAACAGTAGCATAAAGCGAAAACAGTTTGACCCACAGCATTTTCTCATATTTACCCTTGATGCCATATGATCAAGGTTCTAATTAGCGATCTTCTCGTTGATGACTCTGTCAGAAGTGAAGAGTAAGTTGTCCAGTCGATACAGCATGAAAGGTCCTATCTGGAGCCGTTACTAGTTGAGTTTGAGCCAGTGAAGAAACGAATCACCACGGCATTTTCTCATATTTCTCTGGATGCCATATAATCAAGGTACTAATTACCAATTTTCTCGTTGATTACTTCGTCAAAAGTGAAAGGTAAGATGTCCAGTTGATAGAGCATGAAAAGTTCTTTCTGGAGCCGTTAATAATAGAATTGGGGTCAGTGAAGAAACGAATCGCCACAGCATTTCCTCATATTTACCCTTGATGGCATGTGATCAAGGTACTAATTAGCGATTTTCTGGTTGATGACTCTGTCAAAAGTGAAAAGTAAGATGTGCAATCGATAGAGCATGAAAAGTTCTATCTGGAGCCTTTAATAATGTGAATTGCCGAAGTTGTCTGTCGGTTTTTGACTGTTATCGGGGGGTTTCTCGTTGATAATATGATAAATTTTTAGAGCACAGCTGTAGCAGAAAGCGCTTGTTCAGTGGTGCTTGGAGCCAACGGAAGGAGATTTGGAACCAGCCTGTGAGCGAATTCTTTCGGTAATTGCTCGAATCCTGACCTAGGACATCCTACGTCCACTATGTTTGATAAATTGTTTATAAATTTTTATTTCACCTTCCAGTATTTGATGTGTAGTAATTCTTGACTGTTGTTCTTGTTTATTTAATGTTTGTTCATATTCTGTAAGAAATGAGCGAACTACCATTGCATTTTTCGAGAATGTTTCATACACTTTTTGATCGTCAGTTTTAAATTTTGTTACAATCCACTTTTTTTTTGTGCGTGTGACATATCTTTATCGTCAACATGTTGGTCAACTTTGTTAACAAGAGCATATAAACTGTTATCCGTTTGATTCGTGTTACGACCAGCACCAAACAATATGTTATCATGTATATTATTGACTTCATTAGTTATCTCATGTTTAGCTCTTGAATTTAAATTTGAAAAATCAAATACAATCATAACTAATACTGCTTTTTTCAATTCTTTTGATATAACTTCTTTTAAATGATTTGATAAACATTGTTCAGTTGGACCAGGTGTATCAGCAATAATTAGATTATCTTCATATGGAAAAATTTGTACCGTTGTGGTTGTATCATTTTTTATTCTGGATGAAATAGGTACGTCAATACGGGGAACATGATCTTTAATAATACTGTTATCGATCTCGAGCATATTGGATGTACGAATAGCATCATTAATAAATATCAACAGTTTTGCTATTTGCTCTTGATTATGAGTTATGTTTTCAATTTTTGGCATAGTACCCTGGACTATGATATGTACTGTATCATACAAATGATCTTGATAATCTAAATTTTCTATTAATATATTGCCACTATTCTCAGTAACTTTCAATTTTATTTTTCCACATATCACTTCAAACGCATGTACTAATTCAATATCTAATGTTAGCTGTGGTTCTGTTAAATCTTGCTTAAAAATAATTTCTGTTGGTAACCTTGTCATAGCTGTAGTCCTTGACGGTAATAAATCATTACCAATAATGGCATTTAACATTATTCACTTGCCAGCTTTCATTGTACCAGCAACTGACATACGTAATTCTGATCTTTTAGCACGTATTGTTTCTTTTTCTAATTCATCAACGTAGTTTTGTAGAGACATTCCATAATCTTTTCCATAACCATGTAAATGTTGATTTTCTGGTGTATACCTATTTAATATTCCTACTGTTTTTATTATATATGCTGAACATTCATCAAGCAATGATAATGTCTCATTTTGTAAATTTTGAACAATTGACGATGCTGAAGTCATGATTTTGTTTGATTGTTTTTCAAGTATGAACACAGTACAACTAAAGAAGAAAACGATGAAATGATTTAGCTTTTTATAATATTTATCTTTGTTATTTCTGAGTTTTTCATGATTTCATAAAAAAAATATAAAGACTTTTGTGCACTGTAATATTTACATTCAGTTCAATCGTGTAAGACGTGACCTACATTGTGTCCAGGTATGGTTATGATGTATGTATCGAAGCGCAGTTTAGGATATAACACGTTTTGCTCCACTAAAATATCTGACATATGACATTCGTCTCATCAGTCTTTACTAGGATGTCTTCTAAAAAGCAAAATTTTGATTTATTTATATTGCTTTATGATTATAGCTATGCATCGTTTTAAGCTCAATATTTCAGTTAGAAAAAGACATTCTATAAATGCTTATAGCGACAAAAACAATCGATAACAATAAGAAAATCTGATCAGTCTATATATATATATATATATCATCATAACGTTAATACGGACAAACATATTATTTGGGTTAATCCATGGGTATCCAACCACTTTTTGGAAAAAGGGTTTTTATCGACTTTTTTCGTTCTAGTTAGTTGGGGCGTGGTCAGAAAACAGCTTTGGCCGAAAAAAATTGCTGACTTTCACCTTAAATCAGGGAGAACTGGAGCTGTTTCTAGCAACATCTAATGAGGATCATCCAAATTATTTCAAGATTTTGGGCTCATATTTTGCCCATTGGTACAGGACCACTAGACTAGCATAACCTCCAAAGGATTCTTCTTTTGATTGAGATTTGACCGAGGTATGAATGTTTCAAAACAAAGTACTTTTAGAAAAATTATAAAAGAATGAAAAATCTATGTTTTGAAACACTCATATCTCAGTCAAATCTCAATCAAAAGAAGAATCCTTTGGAGGTTATGCTAGTCTAGTGGTCCTGTACCAATGGGCAAAATATGAGCCCAAAATCTTGAAATAATTTGGATGATCCTCATTAGATGTTGCTAGAAACAGCTCCAGTTCTCCCTGATTTAAGGTGAAAGTCAGCAATTTTTTTCGGCCAAAGCTGTTTTCTGACCACGCCCCAACTAACTAGAACGAAAAAAGTCGATAAAAACCCTTTTTCCAAAAAGTGGTTGGATACCCATGGATTCACCCATTTGTCAAAAACCGAAAAAGTTTTTGTCGCTAACTTTCTGTTCACAGTCCACTGCACGCTATACTTTTTGACGGCTTCTGCGATTGCTTTTACCCCTGCATCTGATATATTGTTGCTCTTAATACCAAGACGTGTTAATGTTTGGTTTGTTTTCAAGGATTCTGCAATTGCTTTTGCCCCTGCGTCTGAAATATTGTTGTTGCCCATATAAAGGTCTGCTAATGTTTGGTTTGTTTTCAAGGCTTCTGCAATTGCTTTTGCCCCTGCGTCTGAAATGTTGTTGTTACCCATATAAAGGTCTGCTAATGTTTGGTTTGTTTTCAAGGCTTCTGCAATTGCTTTTGCCCCTGCATCTGATATATTGTTGCTCTGAATACCAAGATCTGTTAATGTTTGGTTTGTTTTCAAGGTTTCTGCAATTGCTTTTACCCCTGCATCTGATATATTGTTGCTGCGAATAGTAACAGTTGTTGTGTCGTTACACCTTAATTTTTCTATAAGTTCGTTCTCTTCCTTGGATAGTTTTGTCGGATAAGTTTCCGATACATTTGATTTTATTAATTGCGTTCCAGCTGGTGGTTGGCTGGTCGGTAATGACGGTGCAATTTGTGGCTTTGAATAACCTGAAGAGCAAATGGAGCTTGAAGGCAGACATGCGAAGTCTTTATTTCTCTAACATGAATACTGTGTGGTGCTTTTGAGGCCATACTTTACTACCAACTTCACAATGCAGTCCTGGTCAAAGAACTATTGGATATTTTGGTGAACATTCTTTGCGTGATCTGCTACAGTTAGGCTACTTGATTACGGTACGTTAATAGGTGAACTTGCTAGCTGTTAAGTCTAATTCTCCTTCAGGAAAGATAATCTGCGTCAAAATTTATTTTAATATATGTGGAAAAGTCGGTAAGATCTGGCTCAGCTTCACAAAAATAGGCTATTTACGTCCTCGCAGACTCTTAAATTTCTCTGTCGACAAAGGTAAACTAGGTGCAATCATAAGTTACCAGCTTTTGCTTTTGCTTGGTCGCGGAAATCGTCGTGTACTCTGATCTTTTGAATCCAAGAAGATTGTTGTTTATCCTCTTCGACATGGAAGTTCGATAGTTCGATAAGTTCATTTTTTAATTCTTTTAAGTTATCCATCCACTTGCTGAGATCTCGTTCATCATAATCTTCATCGTCTCTACCTTTCCGAACTCTGTTCGTTATTTTGAGAAATCTATCTATAAGCCGGTCCTTGTTTTTATCTAGCAATTTAACAACATCAGTCCGACATTGATCAGCGAGTTGATTAATTTTACCGATAGAGTCTTCCTTCCATTTATCAATTTGCTTCAACAAACGATGTGAGTCATTTTCTTTTGGCGTTTCGAGCTGCTGTTTGAGCATATCGTGTTCATAAACAACATTGTCGAGTTCTTTCGACAAATCTTGACGATGATCATTGAAACATCGTCGGCAGAACTTTTCTAAACAGCCATCGCATGTGGTTATACCAGAATTTTTCTCACATTTCGCACATGGAGCTTTTGATGTAGCTGCCATTTAAAACTTGAATAAAATATTTGTTCTTCTGCTGGGAGAAAACCCACTTTGTTTCAGCCCGTATTAATGTTAACAATAAAAGATCTTACTTAGTGAGAGGTAACAACACAAAACTCTAAGTTTATGTTTATAATCGGTGTAATGCATATGAAAAATTTCTGCGTGACTCGCTCGTCGGTTAGATTGAAAAATGTGTTCTCTATAAGTTTTTATAACCGACACTGATTGAAAAAGAAAGGTGAATATTTTTGTCCTTCTGTAGCGATGACGGTTGTCTTTCTAAAATAGAATTAACAAAACAGCCATACTTTGTACACGTTTCTTTTCAAAACAAGGAAAACAAATACGCAGTAACGGCGTATGAGAAGAGAAAAAAACACGTCGGCCTGTCAAGTCTGGTGCAAGGGGTCAAATAATTGACGATTTTCGTTTTTTATCAGTGGAGTTAATACTTATTTTTGCGGTTCTCGTTTTCTAACTTCTAATGCATGGCTCAGTAAGATCGACTAAAGCAGAAACTTGCATACGAGAACATCTCAGAATCTTTACATTTCACAATTAATTTTTGCACTACAAAACGGAAAAATAGATCGCCTGTAAAAATTTCCCAATAGAGTTGTATTATTTTTCCCATGGGCTGATAGCCCGCGGTGTGCTCTTCAAAGTGGGAGTCGAGTAGGGGCGTGCTTATCCGCGGTTCGAACATTGTACTGGAATTTTCAGTAAACCTATAGTCAATAACTATCGATCACATTACTAACTATACCTGTTAACCCCATTTTTCACGAGCTTTCATTTGGTATAAAATTCAATATTGATATCATTTGTCATTGGAGCTATACCCCCCGGGCAAAACATTTCTCGCAACCCTGTACTTTCAAACAAACAAGCTTCTGAATTCAATAGAAATGTAATATAGCGTGAACTATTACTGAAACGTCCGAAATAATATTCACTCACGGAGAACAAAACTGATTTGAATCTCTAAAATCTCTCCAAATCTCTTAAAGTCTTGTTCAAATACATGCAAACCTTTTGAAATCTTCAAAATCCTCAAATCAGTTTTGTCCCCCTTGAGAAATACTCTGATTGAAGCAAGCCTCTAGAATTCGGTGCCCCCGACCGAGCCCCGAAGCCATTTTAGCGAAATCCACAAATCGCAGAATGGGCTTTAATAGTACACCTGATGTACTCCAGCAGTATACTAGAGGGCTTCCGAAGGCCCCGTTTTTATGGAGAAAATCATTTCTCGAAATGAATTGCAACTTTCATATCGTCTGTATTGAAAACGAAAGTTTGAATCATCAAGCTTTTACCGCATATGCTTTGGCATATATCTATTTGGAAATATGGTTGAAAGTCTCACGGTCGGCGTTGTTTCAAATGGGTGCTACGAGAAAGTTCAAGGTTTTCTGGATTTGAGCTCTTATTGCGCCATCTATTACAAAATAACGAAAGCATGCTTGTTTTGAGCTCGCGGTTGCGTGGTTTTAAGGTTCACACTATCTACTATACATCGTAAAATCTCCAAAGTTAAGTAATCTGTTGTTACTGAATTACAAGAGGTTAAAATTGGCAAACTTTCAAGATTCACGTTTTCGGGGCTTTTCGTAAAATTTCAATATCTCAGCAAAGGTACAACTTTTTGATTTGCGGCTTTTACAAAAATTCATTAAAATGTTTGGTCTATAAATGCCCCTTCTTTGAAAAAGTTTTGAGAACATCGATTGAAGAACGTCGTACATGGCATACAAACAGCCTTGTTGTAGTCCAGTGTATTGTGTGACTGAATATTGCTCAATATTATTGTACAATATTATTGGGTATCCAATAATATTGGGTATACGATAATACTGGATCCGAATATTATTGGATAATCAATAATCTAGTACAATATCTTCAACAATGATTGGTATTGGTGCATGCCTAGCCGTAGCATACGTTGCTATATTTCCAAATAATACAATGGCTGCATGAAATTTCACCGACAGTACACAGAACTGCCTTATTCTTTTTTCTGTTTTTTTTGTGCAAAAAATATGTTTTTACCATACCTTTATTCCGATCGTTTCTTTTAAAAATAATAAACGGTCTTTTTCATTTTAACCGACGTCAGCTAAATAATCAGATACTTTTTCAACATTTTTAAGCAACAGAAATGCAACCCATACCACCCCCACCATTTGGTAATCTCAGTCAGAATTACATGTTTATGAGTAGTAGCAGCTCATCTGGTTCGCCCAACGACTCAGGGAGCGGTCATCAACAGCAGCCAACGTATCACACAGTCAGCCAGTATTCAAATTTCCCAACTGGGGCATATCAATATCAAAGCCAAAGCAATTCAAATCCCCCTACGAACGTATTTCATTCAGCATCAAATCCACCACAAGCTCACCCTGCGGTTGGCATAACTCATTTCGGTCCCTATCAAACGCCCAACTCGTATGCTTACGGTCAGTCTCATGCTTATCCGGGTGGAAGTCAACAATCGTTTATCTCAATGTCTGGAATACCTCAACATCCGACTGCTGCTGCTCCAAGTAAGTTTAATCTCGAAGCAATAAAATTAATACAGCTTTGTTTCTAATGTGCTTGTTGCAGACTACAACTATGTTCCAAATATAAATGATGACGAAAAATATGCACGAATGCTTCAAGAAGAAGAGAATCGACGCTATTAATTTGAAATATTTTATTACAAAACTGACCTCATTTATGAAGAAATGCACTCGCAAGAACTAAAAAGTAGTTTTACTAATCCATAGCTCTAGATCTAACTAAAGGTTTGAATTCCTATTATATCTTAGAAAAATCTGTATCATGGAGTATTTAATCTCACGTTATTTCTATAAAATATCACATCCCAAAACGGTAGTTTATGATCAGTTTCGAATTCCGACGTAAACTGGACGTTTATATCAATGTTACTTAGTGCCCAAATTGATAGACCTACTTCTGGTTGACACCAAAAATTTCTATTGCAATATCCACTAGTAGGTATTAACAGGTCTTTACAACTTCCACTCTTCTGTCCAATTTTAGCTGATCTCTCGTAGCTTATCAGCTAAAAAAAAGTGTCTGATTATTTGAATGAAGTTGGTTAAAAGCAAAAAGTCCCTTTGTTATTTTTAAAAGAAACAATCGGAATAAAGGTATGGTAAAGACATGCTTTTTGCAGAAAAAGAATGAATGCAGTTTTATGTGCTCTATTTGAAATTTCATGCAGTTATTGTATTATTTGTAAATATAGCAACGTATGCTATGGCAACTTATTGTATCTGAATGCCCTGACAGTAAGGGATGTCAATCGAATTTTTGTTGAAGTTTATGTATTTATTATTTTCTTTTCTAGTCAATAATCAACCACCTTCAGTGTAGGGTCATCGAATAAATTCTACGAAATGCTTTTTTATAAAATTAAATTTATGCAAGCTATAAATCGGGCATTCTCTGTTTCGCTGCCTGTCTTATCACTGGTTTGATTTCTGTCGTTTCGATTTCTAGATAATACCCAGGTCGCAGGAAATGAGACATAAATGAGACATGTATGGCTCATTTATGATATGAAGTGAAAATGATCATATTATAATCCTAAAATGATTTAAATATGAGCTTAAAATGATATCATATTTGAG